AAAATGGTACAACCACTTTGGAAATCGATTTGGCGCTTCCTTAAAAAGCTAGAAATAGAAGTACCATACGATCCAGCTATCCCGCTCCTTGGAATATATCCTAGAGAAACAAGAGCTGTCACATGAATAGATATATGCACACCCATATTCATCGCAGCACTGTTCACAATAGCCAAAGGATGGAAGCAACCTCAGTGCCCATCGATGGATGAATAGATAAACAAACCATGGTATATCCACACAATGGAATATTATGCAACGATAAAAGAACAATGATGAAGCTGTGAAACACCGTATAACTTGATGGAAGCTAGAACTTATTATGCTGAGTGAATTTAGTCAGGCACAGAAGAACAAATACTGTATAAGACCACTAGTATAAGAACTCAAGAAAAGGTTTAAACACAGAAGAAAACATTCTTTGATAGTTACAGGGGTGGGGAAGGAGGGTAAGTGTTATTCACTAACTAGATAGTAGATAAGAATGATCTTAGGTGAAGGGAAGGACAGCACACACTACAGGGGAAGCCAGCACAACTGGACTAACCAAATCTAAGAAGTTTCCTCAATACAATCAAATACCTTGAGAGACAGAGTAGCAGGGATGCGGGGTCTGGGGACCATGCTTTCAGTGGACATCTATGTCAATTGGCATAACAAACCTTATTGGGAAGGTGTTCTGCATCCTACTTTGGTGAGTGGTGTCTGGGGTCTTGAAAGCTTGCAAGAGGCCATCTAAGATGCATCAATTGGTTCCAACCACTTGGAGTAAAGGAGAACGAAGAACACCAAAGACACAAGGAAAGTATTGGCCCAAGAGATAGAATGGGCCACAGAAACCAGAGACTTCATCAGCCTGAGACCAGAGGAACTAGATGGTGCCTGGCTACCACCAATGAACGTCCTGACAGGGAACACAACAGAGGGTCCCTGATGGAGCAGTAGAACGATGGGATGCAGAACTCAAATACTAGTAAGAAGACCAGACTTAATGGTCTAAGACTGGAGGCGCCCCAGAAAGCATGGCCCCTGGTCTCTCCATCACCCCAGAACCAAAATAATTTCCAAGGACAACTCCTCAGACAGGGATTGGACTGGACTGTGGGACATAAAGTGATACTCGTGAAGAATGTGCCTCTTAGACAAGTAGATATAAGAGACCAAAGGGGCAGCTTCCGTCCAGAGGTGAGAGGGGAAGGCAGTGAGAGTTAGGAGCTGGCTGAATGTTCATGAAGAATCAGGGGCAGAGGGGAGGAGTGTGTTGTCATAGAATGGGGTGAGTGGTTGGGGTCTCATAACAATGTATGTTAAAAAAAAAAAAAAATTCTGCATGGGGGACTAACTTGAAATGTAAACTTCATTTAATTACATCACTTAAAAAAAAATAAAATAGAGAAAAATCAAAAAAAAATTTCTGGTTGTGAATTTACACCATTTTCTAAAATAATCAGATGCTAATGTATCAAGAAATACTATTTAATACCCACATAAAATATACAAAACTTACCTGTTCAGCAAAAAAAGAGAATACAGTAAACATAATCAATGTTGCTAGTACACAATGGGTCCAAAACTTCAATTTATCCCGATACGCTCTCCTGTTCCGAGAGAAAAGAAAGCAAACATGTACCTCTGGGTATGGTTTCACTGTCATTAGTGATACTAATTCATATACTAGTTTGGCAAAAAACAACACTGTGAAAAACAAAAAATACTGTTTGGAGGCAATTCTAAAATGTTAACACAATACATATTCCCACCATGGGCTCAGCTTTTTCACTATATCACAGTAAACTTTATACTTTCATTAGTGAAAGTTATCCAGGGAGCAGAGAGGACCGCAAACCACTCTTCCATTCATTTTTATTTATTTACTCATGTTTATTTCTTCTTTCACTCAGTTACCCAACAAACACTGTGGATACAGAGAGAAGAACAAGATAAGGTCTCTGCCCTAACAGTGTGTACAAACCTGGAGAGTTACGGACATGCAGACAACCACCATCACACAAGATGGACAGAAAGACATATTACAGAAAGCAAAGTCTTGTGGAAAATTGCAGAGGAATGAAGAAAGCACCAGAGAGATGATCACAATTCATTCAAGACCTGAAGGGAATAGACAAGGCACCTGGCTGAGGAAGGGAATGAGCAGCAGCAGTCAGAATTGCAAGGTGAGTCCTGCAGGACTGAGTCAAGTCCAGCACACGGGCTGCGGTGAGCACCAAGCCACGGGAAGGCAGTGAGTAAGAATTGCGGTTGTTCTAGAAAACCATGCAATGGGGTTTGGACTTAATACTCTAGTGTGGAAGCGAGTAAAATAGCAGGGGTGAGGGTGGGGTGACCCAATCAGGGTAAAAATGGGGCCATTGGAAGGATGGATGGAGAAGCAAGTCCAGTTAGTCCAGGTATGAGGAAAAGAATGAGGAGCTGGACTAGGGCAGCAAGAATGAAAACAAATAAGCAACAGAAGACACATTCTGCGAATAGAATCCATTGGATTTGAGACTATGGACACTCGGGATAAAGAGAGGCAGTACAGCACAGTTTCCTCATCTGTAATTTAGAAATCAGTAATTTGTTATGAAGATTAAAAAAACACTTAGCATAAGGCTTGAAAATATGCTAATAACTACCAAATTCAGACCTCTGTGCTGTGTTCCAGATTCTCATTTACAACTGTTTGCTGCAGATATCTCTACCTCAAATCACATGTATACTCCCCCATACACTGTTGTTCCTCCTGTATTTCCTAACTCTGTTAATAGGATCACAACTAGCTCAGTCAGTTCTACTATCTACAGCATCATTCAGAGTCCGTGTGCAACTTAAAGAGCTAATGAGCCACAAGCTACAGCACAGCTAATGTGCTGCTTCGGCAATCAGAGAACCCTATAATAGCTGGAGGTGAACTGAGGTTCCCTCAACCACTTATCCATTAAGTACCTACCATGTGCTAGGGAGGCACTGTGAACTCAGAGACAGGTAAGACACAGTCTTTGCCCCTGAAGAGGGCTCACAGTCTACCAGGAAAGATGAGCACAACCAGACACACTACTGTACAGTTAAGTGGGGAGGGAACAGGGTTCTGTGCGAACAGGAAGAAAGCCAATGCAGGAAATAAGGAACTCAAGAATGCAGTGCTGTGAAAGTAAAGACAAAAAGGAAAGTTTCTAGAAAGCAGGATGGGGTTGGTGGGTCAGTAGCAGGACAGGGTTGTCTGGGAACTGGAGGCAGGGAGATTAATTAATATGTATTACAATAGACCTAGAAATAGTCACGGTATGAACCGAGGACACAGCCCAGCAAATAAAGAGAAAGCAACAGATGGACCTGAGAGAGACTTTAGCGGTGAAACTGGAAGATATTGACAACTAGAACTCCTTGGAATCTTGGAGTTGGGTAAATGGGACAATTAGCATGTACACTGCTTATATCTATATATTTTCATTTTTAAAAGGAAAAATTATTACTGAATCCTGAACATCCTATGTCTGATTCATCTCATTCGCACAACTCAGAAATCAAAGTCCTCTCAAACGACTCCCATGCAGGTGGGCCCTTAGAGGTGCATGTAATCACAAACTGTATTTGGGGGAGATAATACTTGGGACCATCTAAAGATCATTTTCCTGTCTATGCTAAAGGAAAGCAAAAATTTGAGAAGCCATTCCTTGCTATTTCTGAAAGACAACATCAAAAATTTTATCCCTACCTCTATGTCTTCCCTTGTCTTCAATCTTCACAACTCGATAATTTCTACACTATACAACACTTAACCAGATGCCAATCCTTTGCTCATTATCTATAAAGGTTCCCGGGTGGTTATAAAGGCTGAATTGACAATCTGGTTGTCAACGCTCTGAATAAAATGGTTCCCAATTCATCTCCAGGCTTATCTCCCACTATTTCAGTATAGGAATTCTCCAACTGAGCCAGGCTAGCCCCTAAAACTTCCTGATCATTCTGCCTCCAAACCTTTGCTCAATGTTTCCTTCTTACCATTTTCTGAAATTCTTGCTTCAGAATTTAGCCTAATTCCATTTTCCCAGAAGCCAAAAGCTCTATCACAGCTAACCGCCCCAACAATTAAAGAATCCTATAATAGCTGAGCTTCTCTCAGCCATCCATCCACTGAGCACCTACTACCTTGACGATCAGCTCAGCCCATACTGACTCCTCACACTTCTCATTTTGTACAGAACAATATGCTCCTATGAATTGATGTTCCCCTTCATACATATAACAGTCAACAAGTGGTTGAATAGATTTTTAAAGTTCCCACTAAACTGAAAGAAAGGAGCTCTGGTGGTGCGGTGGTTAAGAGCTTGGCTGCTAACTGAAAGGTTGGCGGTTTGAATCCACCGTAAAGATTACCCAACCCAACCTCTACCATCAAGTTGGAATAGCGATCCTATAGGACAGAGTAGAACTGCCTCATAGGATTTCCAAGGCTGTAAATCTTTACGGAAGTAGACTGCCAAGCAGCTGGTCGGTTTGAATCACTGACCTTTTGGTTAGCAGTCCTCCCATAAAGATTACAGCCTTGGAAACTCTATGGGGCAGTTCTACTCTGTCCTATAGGCTTGCCATAAGTCAGAATCTACTCTACTGCAATGGGGTAAACTGAAAGATTTCCAGTTAAATATTTTTTCAAATCTCTTAAAATGCTAGTAAGTGTCTTTTACATATTAAGCTCAATAAAAATGTGAACTGTAGTTTTGCAAAGAAATTACAGAGCAAATAATAATACACTAAATAATAATAATAACACACTATTTCGCCATTCTAAAATATAAATATATGAAATATGAGAACTTACCATTCTTGCAGCTCATGCATATGAAGGAAACGGTTACGATACTCTCTTGGCAGCTCAAACTGGGATGGGATGGGGAACATGGATTCATAGAAATCCCTGAGAACAGCCTTCACTGTCTGGGCATCTTTATGATTATGGTCAATATTGTCATTCAGACAAACAAATTTCCTGAAGTAAGAGAGACCCAGGATTACTGGTGATCATATGGATGATTGTGACCTAACAAGGCAAGGAATGTGGACTCCAAACATATTTTCAATAAATTTATGCCCCCACGTTCGTGCATTTACTAATACGACTCTCTGCAGGAGTAATGTTCTGTAAAATTATTCTTTAGCTATTCCTCGCTTATAAACCAAGAGAACTGGGGTAGATAATCTTGAAGGTGCCTTATAGCTATGTGAGTAAATTAATTTAATGATTTTTATTTAGTATGTACCCTAATTAAGTATTCAACTAATGCAGTTAACTGACTGGAACATTTTGTTAGCCGCTGGGGAAAAAAATTAGTTAAGTCTCTAAAACTGAGTTCTGAAGACATATTAAACCAGTAGGTTAAGTATGACACCACTTTTGAAGTAGGTGTGCCAAAATTCAAAAAAAAAAATCTGATAAAGCCTTTAGATCCAACTACAACTTACAGGACGTACAGCAGACGTAGAAATGTGCTAAGCAACTGGTGCACAGTTACGGAAATCCAAGTATAGGAAAGCTACAGAACATACTATGGATTTCTTCACATACACACAAAAAAGATTATATAGTTAAGAAAAAAAAGAGAGAGAGAGAAACCTGTGAATGGACTTTACTAGATATCAATTCATATCAATAAATTTAAAAACAGAAAATACATAAATGCTTAAAAAGACAACTGAGGAAATGTATACACTGACCAGAAAGTTGATCATATTAAGGAATTATTATTCATTTTTTAGATGTGATAATGGTATTGTGTTATGTTTTTAAGAGTTCTTATACTTTAGAGATACAAACTGGAAAATTTACAATGAAAGGATACAATGTCTGAGGTTTACTTAAAAATATTTGGGAGGCTGTAGTGAGGGAGTCAGTGTATTTAGGTGAAACAAGACCAACCACGAATTGGTTATTGCTAAAGCTGAGTCATGAGTACATGAAGGTTCATTATTCTATTCTCCAAACTTGGAGACTGCTTGAAATTAAAGGATGCTAAAGGACTATGATAACCAAATACAGGGGCTAAGCCTTCACTGTATCCTGGATCAAAAACAGATAACTATAAAGGGCACTTGAGGGCAACTGGGGAAATTTTAATATAAAGAGTGTATTACATGGTATTGGTTAATCACATTTTTAAAGTGTGGTAACAGTCTTCTAGTAGAGAGCAGACCTTCTGTTTTGGAAGACTTGTACTGAAATAATTAGATGTAAAGTGTGTGAATGTCTGCAGCTTATTTTCAAATGGTTCAGTCAAGAAGAAAAAGTGTGTGCATGTGCATGCACATAGATAGAGAGATAAAGCAACTATGATCAAGTGTTGACAATCAGAAAATCTAAGTTATGGGTTTATGGGGATTATTGTACTATTTTTCCAATTTAGGGAAAAAGTATATGAATGAGACAAAAGGTATGTGTGGCACAGGGTAGTTAAAGGTGACACTGCTGAATGCCTGCCAAACACCACTGCACTCTCCAGTCCTTCCCTCCTAAGAGAATTTCCATTTTGTTCAGCATTCTCTGCTTCTGATCTGACTCAGAAAGGGCAACCTCCACTCCAACCTCAGCTCCTGACTAGTCTAAGTGAATCTCTCCTGTTTCCAGGGTCTGCTAGGGGGAGAGAGACACAGGAAGATGTGGCCCCTTTCTGCCTGGGAACAAGGCTATGTCCACAAGTGACATCTAGGAGCACTGCAGCCATCCTGAGGATAAAGCTCACACACATAGGAAAGCAGAGCTGAAGAAGCAAAGACAGCAAATCCTGCAGGCTACCTAGCCCCAGGTTCCTTGTTATGTGGGCTACCTATGTCCTTAAAGTTTAATGCCAGTGAGAAGTTTGGTTTTCTGCACCTAGCTTATAGTGAGCTCCAATCAAAGTAAAACAAAACAAAGCAAACAAACGAGTTAAAAATGATAAAATCTGTCCAAGGACACAGGAGGTAACTGGACTCAGCCGACACTGCGGAAGAAGCCCGACTCACCATGTGACCTTTTAATAAGCCCGTCCTTTTATGTATCATGAAGATGTCTACGAATATTCTCAAATCAGTAACTTTTCAAACTGGCATAAATACATAAAAGTAATTGCAAATTCCCTCACATATTGCTACAGATTAATAATGACTGAATGGGGACAGCAATAAGTATCAAAAAAGACTTCCAAAAGCAGTTTGGCAGATCCTCAAAAAGTAAAACACAGAACTACCGTATGACCCAGCAATCCCACTCCTGGGTATATACCCAAAAGAACTGAAAGCAGAGACTGAGTAGGTCTCTCTGCACGCAGGACGCTCCTCCATCTTGCCCAGACTCCTACCTCTTGGTCAAGTCCAGCTCAAACGTCACCTCCACCGTAAGGCCTTCCCATCTGCTCCAAAGAGAAATAAATCACTCCCTTCTCTCTGCTCCTTTAAAGAGCTCGGCTGCTAACCGAAAGGTTGCTGGTTTGAACTCACCAGCCGCTCTGAGGGAGAAAGGTGTGGCAGTCTGCTTCTGTAAAGATTACAGCCTTGGAAACCCTAGGGGGCAGTTCTACTCTGTCCTATAGGGTCGCTATGAGTTGTAATCGACTCGCTGGCAACGGATTTGGGTTTTGTTGTTTTCTCTCTGTTCCTACTGCCCTTTATTGACATTTATTTGCAAAATTAAACATAATTTTAAAAAACCAGTACCTGGGATTTTTCCTTATGTCATCCAGCTGGCCAACCACATGAGAAACATTGGTACGGATCATTTTAAAAGCAATCTCTTCTTCTCCCATGATTTCAAACCTAATTATCAGAACATATTTTAAAAGTTTAAATGTTTATATGGATATAAAAAGCAAAATTTCAATGGAAAAAAAAACTTTAAGCTTCAGTGGACCTAACATCCACACAATTACTTAATATTTCAATATTACTAAAGAAAACAATCTCATGTAATTTTTAAAAGAATTCTTAATAGATAAAATATTGTAAAATTATGAAAATGCCAGACCCTGGTAATTATTCTTACACTAAAAAAGAATATGTATATATTACTTACCTATATTTGTTTTTGTCCTTATATGCTTTGTGGATTTTATTAGTTACTGGTTTACAGTTGGTAACTAAACTCTTAGTGACTGGTGGCTGTGAGAAAACACAAGGAGATCAGACGTTACATCAGGGCCAGGACTAGGGTGAGGTGAGTGAGGCACTCACCTCAGGTACAAGCCAAAAAAACTCAGTAATCAAGATAAATGATATTTTAATGCAATATGTAAAAAAAAATCTAATCGGCACACTACAGCTCACAGGCTGGCTTCCTATTTTTGTAAATAAAGTTTTATTTTAATTACATATTTTCTCATTTCCCATCAAGTTGATTCCAACTCATGGCGGCCCCATGTGTTACAGAGTAGAACTGCTCCATAGGGTTTTCTTGGCTGTAATCTTTACACAGGCAGATCGCCAGGCCTTTCTTTCACAGTGCCAATGGGTGGGTTCAAACCTCCAACCTTCTGGTTTGTAGTCAAGCTCAAACTGCTTGTACCACCTAGGAACTTCAATCACACGTTACTCCACACTATATGTTAAAAGTCTTGTAAGCTACTGTTATAATTTTCTTCAGAAAGAAATTTCTAACACAAAATATAATGAACTGGGCTATATGATACTCATAAGCTAACTTGTGATTCTTACAGTCTAATTAGAAAATTCTTTATCTCATGTGTAATCACAGTTAATTACAAAAATAAAGCCAACACCTTGGCTTAGGTAAGAGTTCACTCAAGCAATGTAACTAATGCTGCCGGTACAACTAGTACTTATGCTCTAAAAGTTTATTTGCATGAGCTTCAAAACCCCAACTTTAATTGTTAGCAAAGCAACTTTACTTACTTCTTATCTCTCAAAGGATAACTGCTAATTCTAAATCTCATTCCAGAAATTTGGAAAACACTATAATATTCTTCTTCCAAAGAATGAAGATGGGCATATTTTGAAAGAAAACGAAAATCTCTCAATAATCTCTCATCATATCTATAATAAGGCAAGATGAATGGCTGTTTTATACGTGTATATCATCTTTCCTCAGGAAATAACACACTTCTGCAAGTTCTATATAAGTGTAGGAGTTTGGTAACTGTGAAGTCTTACTATGAATGCAATGTTTGCAAGAGAAAGAAAGAAAACTAGAGGAAAGAGAGACAAGTGAAAGGACAGATATGGAAATAAGGGGTGTGTGAAAGAGAAGTCTTGAGAGAGAGCTAAAAAACACTGTACAAATAATGAAGCTCACTGGACTCTGAGGCCTTAGGTGAACTTTCAGCACAATTACTGCATCGACCAGAAGAAAGCAAAGATCAAAGGGCATTTGGTTAGGAAGAAAGGGTGAGGGGGAACCCAACATCATTTTTCCTTTCTTCCTCCTTTGTCTTAGCCACACTTGGGGATTGCTGACCAGGAAGGCAGTGGAAAAGACAGGTTAGGGCAGCCTGGAGCTCACGGAGGCCCACTTTCCCCCTGATGGAGGTAGAGCGTGCCCAGATCCCTGACAATGGATAGAAACTTTAGTATTCTTGACAAATACATAAACTTCGAGGGGGGGATCTAAACCAGATCTTCTACATCTGGATGATTTAGAGTTGATTGTATTAGCTTTGTTATACAGCTCTGCTTTCCTATGTGTGTGAGCTTTATCCTCTGTTAATGCCAAATTTGGGGAAAACAGAAAAGAGTAGTTATTGGCGTTTAAAAAGTCTTGTAACTGAGAATGTTCTTCAGCCTATGTAATCTAACTTCTAATATTTTGTTTAAACTTCTGTTCTCTCTGCAGGAAAGAATAAAACCTATTGTGATTACATACATACCTCTTTATTCATTAAAAACTGTTGTAAATGACTATTAACATTTATATAGCAGAGTTTACAAAGTATTTTTCGTAAGCATAAAGTATCCAACTGGACTGTGCCAAAGATCCAGAAGAAACTGCTGAGGCCACAAGATGAGCTGCTATCTGTTATCAGGCTGATTTAGTATCAGCTCTGTGTGAGATCTCCCCTGAACCAACAATTCAGACCTAGTCTCATTCCTTGACCTGATTCATTTCAATTGGTATGAACTGATTACAATAGCAAAGCCCTGGTGGCGCAGTGGTTAAGAGTTCAGCTGCTAACCAAAAGTTGGCAGTTCGAATCCACCAGTCGCTCCTTGCAAACCCTACGGGGCAGTTCTACTCTGTCCTATAGCGTCGCTATGAGTTGGAATCGACTTGACGGCAATGGGTTTGGTTTTTTTTAATTCCTCACAGAATGGACCAAAAATGTAAGTCTAAAAAAAAGGATTAATAATTACCCTTGATTTAACTTGCCATTGTGTTTGTTATCTTTTCGTGTGTGTGTTTGTGAGTTTGCTATATTTCAAATCATGCTATGTTTATGGAACTACATTCCATTTTTTATCCACCTAATTTTATTTTGTAAGTGTTTTTCCATATATCAATAAAAATTAACTGTAAACATCATGTTAATGGCTATATTACACCCTTGTTTCATCAATTCTAAGATGCAGAGTTTTTTACATTTTAACTTCTCTGAAATTGGGATACATCTTAGAATGAACAGTCTTTCAATCACTTTAGCTTGGTGGCACCCCAATGTTGTTGTGTGCCATCATGTCAATTCAGACTCATAGTGACCCTAAAGGACAGAGTAGAACAGCCTCTGGGTTTCCTAGGCTGTAACCTTTATGGGAGCAGATCGCCAGGTCTTTTCTCTCACAGAGTGATTGGTGGGTTTGACCCTCCGACCTTTCTGCTAGCAGTCGCGCACTTAACCACTGCACCACGAGGGCTCCATGGCACCCCAATGAAGTTGTCTACAAATTATCCACTGATCCCTTCTAGTAAGATCAAGAAAGTACCAGCATGAAAACATTTAGCTTTGATGAAAGATGGCATTTCATCTAATGAATATTTCCTTGGTTAATGTTCAACCCCAGGACTGCTCTCCCATGCCACTTAGAATGCTTTTGAGATATCTTCTGCCACTCATAGTGAACAGGATGTCTACTTACAGAATATAAGAACCCAATCTGAATATTAGCTTAAATATCCCTTAGGAGAAAAAAATATTCCAAAGCAAGATATAAATGATTCTGGATAATCTATGCCACTACTTTCCACCAAATACAGAAGTTTAAATAAAACTTGCCTGTAGTTTTTAAATGGCATAAATAACACTGGATAAGTTGTTGCACAAAAGGAGCACTGGTGGTGCAAACTGTTTTAGGCACTGGGCTGTTAACTGAAAGGCTGGAAGTTCGAACGCACCCAGCGGCTCCGTGGGGAAAAGACCTAGCAATCTGCTTCGGTAAAAATTACAGCCAAGAAAACCCTATAGGGCAGTTCTACTCTGTCACATGCGGTCACCGTGAGTCAAAATTGACTCAAAGGCACATGACAACAACAAGAAGCTGTTGTACACCCATACAATGTTCCATTGTACAGAAAAGTAACCCATGCCACCTACCAGATTGGGATCATAGTATGCTTCCTGAGTTGGTGGAATGCTGTTTAGCTGAGTGATATTGGCAGGAAGCATTTTCGAGCAATTTATTAACATGTGTTCCAGACCTGTCAAATCCTAAAAAGCAAAATAAGAGGATATATCTGTTACGTGCATTTTAAGTAACGATTATGGTTTTACAAATAAAACTTATGTAAGTCTCCAAATATGGTTTAAATACTATCCTCAAGGTGTGTTTGACTATATGATTAAGATAAACACTAAGACATCCTAAAAAAAAAAGAGTTAGAGACAATACAAATACACATATAAGTATTGCATCCTTGTTTCAAAGTAGAACAAACTGCTCTATGAGATACCATTTCACATGAGGTGGCCCAAAGGGGTCACAGAGGGGATGTTATGAAGCTCTATTCGTCTTGGCACTCTCCATTGGTGAGTTTCCTATACCTGGGACTAGAGGAAGCCAGGACGGAGTGGACTGTACAGCATTACGAGTCTGGCTGAGATCTTTAGCCAACCACACCTGCAGAGTCCCTAAATGGGCCTTCCACAAGATTCTTACATGCAGGTCTACTCTGGCTCTTCTCCAAATAACACAACATCAATCCCTGCTGGAAAACCTAAAAAGTAATCTCGTAAAATACAAACTTGAAATTTGGTTTTAATTCTGGCATTAAAAACGGACTCGTTATAAAATCTTCACTAAATACTAAGAATTACTTTTAATTGCATTGAACTGAAATCTGTAGGGGTAAAAGAGAAACTGTCAAAATTAAAATTTTCATTTAAAATGTGATAAAGTTTAGGAAAAAAATACAGTACCTGCAAACTTAAAGGCAGGTCATGAATTCTGGTAGCCAGTGTTCGGATTTCTCTGTCAGATAAAACACCAGATTGGTCTGTATCCACTTCATCAAAAATTTGAGATATATTCAGTGGCTGGACTGCACTCATGAGATAATAAAAATAAGAGAAGGCAAACTGCATATCCTCAGAATGGCGGACTTTGTGAAATGACGTCTTGTCAAATTCTTCAGGGAACCTGTCCAAATATAAGATAGAATGAGCTCTACAGATTCAGAATATAAATGGCCCCTAACATTTGTGAGAAATGATGCCTTTGAATTATGGTGCTGGAGAAGAATATTGACTACACCATGGACTGAAAGAAGAACCAACAAATCTGTCTTGGAAGAAACACAGCCAGAAAACTCCTTAGAAAGGAGGACGGTAAGACTTTGTCTTACATACTTTGGCCACGTTATCAGGAGAGACTAGTCCCCGGAGAAGGGTATCATGCTTGGTAGAGGGTCAGAGAAAAAGAGGAAGACCCTCAATGAGATGGACTGACACAGTGGCTGCAACAATGGGATCAAGCATAACAATAACTGTGAGAATGGCACAGGACCTGGCAGTGTTTTGTTCTGTTGTACCTAGGATTGCTGTGAGCCAAACAGACTTGACGGCACGTAACGACACTTGTGAGGCAGAATTTTTTTCCCTTCCCATTTATTTAGATGATACCTTTAACATATCAGTCATCGAATATTACAGCCATAAATTTATTATAGCAGATATGCAAATTTCAAGTAGACTTAGCTCTGAAAACATGCAACTCAAACACAAGCAAGACTCACATATCCTGCAGTTCTTGCATAACAATTCGGTCAATCATGTGAGGCATGTGTGCGGGGACTTTCCGAGATGTGAATCCAAATTTGCTATTTAGAATTTTATTGACATAGCGGAGGGAATCTGCAAACGTATCTTTCAGTTGCCTCCCAGTATGCTTGCTATCGGTAAAGTAGGCCAATTGTGTCTTCAGTGATTCTTCTTCCTGAAAAAAGAATTCCATGTATACACAGCTTTACATTTAGTGATGTACTTTGTTAAGTAGCCCTGATGGCACAACGATTAAATGCTAAGCTGCTAACCAAAGGCTGGCAGTTTGAACCCACCCAGCCACTTCAAGGGAGAAAGATCTGGCAACCTGCTCCAGTAAGGACTACAGCCTAGAAAACCCTATGGGGCAGTTCTACTCTGTCACACTGGGTCACTATGAGTCATAATTGACTTAACGGCACCTAACAACAACAATGTACTTTGTTAATAAAGATAAAGGTACCATTTTATATAATGTGGTAATAATTAGTCACTAACTGGAGCCGCGGTGGCACAGTGGTTAAGAGCTCGGGCTACGAACCAAAAGGTCAGCAGTTCGAATCCACCAACCGCTCCTTGGAAACCCTATGAGGCAGCTCTACTCTGTCCTATAGGGTCGCTATGAGTCGGAATCAACTTGACAGCAACAAGTTTGGTTTTTTTTTTTTTTGGTAACTCCACAAGGGACAAATGAAATGGGCGCTAACTTTAAGCATCCTAATAGTAGGAAGGAACCGGATTTAGTGAAAGTCTGTCTCACCAATACTGGCTTGAGAACAAAAGCTGTGTGTTGGAAGTCTGTTTATAGGGTATTCTTCAAGGATGGGTCAGTGGCCATGAGACTTCACAGCCAATTCAATGCAACATTCAAAAATGTATTTATAAACAACTTTGATATAATATAATAGCATCAAGCTATTTCTACCAGTGACACCAAAGCAGAAAGTATTTGAGCTTTGAACACAAGAACTGGAAACACATTTGGTTTCACCACCTAATAGTGTTAATGATAGAAAGTATAAAGAACCCTGTCAAAACCAGTAAGAAGCAAAACTAAACGGCAAAGAATATGAACACACTTTATAGAAGATGAAATTTTCTGTATGGAAATTTTTTTTTGTTTCTCAAACTGATAAAAAATATAAAAGGACTGACATTAACCGGTATTGGTTAGCCTGTAGAGAAACACATACTCATATATACTGTTCATGGAAGTAAACTTTATATACCAGACACTTTAACCTAGCAATTCCACCTTCAAAAATAAAAATTTACTCAAGTCTAACATATATGTACAAAGATATTTACTGTAACATTATTTATAACCATAAAAAAAGGAAGTAACTTACAGGTGTTAAAAAGAAAAATGCACTGATGTGGTTAGTTTGCCTACTGTACTAAGTTAAAAGGCAACTGCACAGCAATACATGCATAGTGTTTAATTTCACTGCTGCAAGACAGAATCTAGTTGATATGTTTGCATATCTATTGAAAAATACTGGAAGGATATGTGTCTCTCCAAAATATGTGTTGAATTCTTGGCCCTTGTACCTATGAAAATGACCCTGTTTGGAAATAGGGTTTTTCTTTTGCTATGTTAATGAGGCCATTTCAGTGTAGGGCGGGTCCTAAACCTAATCACTTCTGAGCAGGGCTTCGAACCCTTGCTGAGAATTTGCATTTCTAACAAGTTCCCAGGAAGTTATACCTAAGAATCACCTGAGGATCTCATTAAAATGTAGGTTCTGATTCAGTATATCTGGGGTAGAAATGCAAGTTCTCAGCATGGAACTTGTTAGAAATGCAAATCCTTGGCAGGAGTTCGAACTGGTTGGATGCCCTGCTTCTGAGTTACAAACAGACCAGAATAGACTCAGAGACATAAGGGGAAAGACATGCCATGTAAGGACTGTCTATAAGCCAAGGAACCAAGGAATGGCCAAGGCTACGCACAAGGAGGGAATCAACGCACCCAAGACCCTAACGTGGACTTTTAGCTCCCAGAACTATAAGAAAATAAATTTCAGTTCTTTAAAGCCACCTGCTTGTGGTACTTGTGTTATAGCGGCACTAGGTAACTTAGATACCCACCAAACTATTAAGAGTGATTATCTCAAAGAGGAAGACTGAAGAAGAAAGGAGAGAGGGAGAACCTTTACCTTTTTTACTGTTATATTTTTACACTGCTTGTCATTTTTACCGCTAACCTATGGTGCTTTTGTAATTAAAAAAGGAAAACAGTGACAAAATAAACACAGGCAAAAACTCCTCAGTTCTTCACTCAACAATTAGTAAAATGCCTAACATGCCAGACACAAGACACTTTCAGAGGTCACTGAGGAATAAGATGGCCGTCCCCTTCACCCTCTTTTCTCCAGCCTAACATCTACTCTTCAACATCCAGCCTAGACCACATGATTTTTCTTGGACTGTCAACTCCCACCCACCCTTCAAAGTTCAGCTCACAGGGCACTTCCTCATGGATGCATTCCCTAATTTCTCGAGGCAGAGTTAATCAATTCTCCCTCTGGAATCCTTGCCCATACCTAAACGGAGGCACTTACTACATGGCTACAATTGTCCATGAATCTTTCTTCCCAGCTGGTCTCCAGGAGCAGTGACTGTCCTAATCACCCTGCACTTCCCAGTGGTTAGCACAGTGACAGCACTCAAGAGATGTTCAAATGACAGCACACCACAGTGGAGCCCAGAATGCCAGGCAAAAGCACCCCAAGTGTGAGGCTTGGCTCACACTGACCTGCTGTTGTGCTGCTGGGGAAGCCAACACACTTATCTGAGCCTCAGTTTTTGTATCAGTAGAACTGGAAAAATATCAGACCCAACCAGCACAATGTACACAAAAGCATTTCTGAAAGCACAACATGCTAAGAGAAGATACCATCCCTGGCTAAATGACTCACTCACACTAACTGTTACCTAAACTGTAAAATGGGGATAACAACAGTAAATACCCTTTATAAGGTACTTGTATTATTAGGGTTATTGGGAAAATTAAATGAAACCATGTAAGAAAAGCACTTAGTTCAGTGGCTAGTAGAAGACAGTATTAAATAGATAGCAAACAAACAAACATTATACTGTTATCAATCACAAGATCACCGAAATCTATGTTTCCTGAGCATGGGAAAAAACAAGGCTGGATGTAACTTACATCAAGAAGATCTTGGAAATACTTCTTTTTCTCCCACGGCAAAAAGCCCAGGTAATCTTCTGTATAATGCTGCAGTTTTCTTCCAGGTAATACTTCATTAACATCTATGTTATTTTTAACATTTCCCTCCACTCTGTTTTTCTCTTCTTCTTTCCCTGTGATTTTCTTTTCTTTTGTCATGTGGTTTTCCAGTGGGACAATCAGAGAGGAGAGCTTTTCATTTGATGCACCTCTGCCTCCTATTTTTTGTATCTGAGTTTCAGACCTAAATCCTGCTTTGGACTTCAAGTTCTGGGGTGGATTCTGGCCCTGGGGGTGGTCCTTCATTTTTATTGTCACCGCTGGAAAAGTAGACCTTTGCAATCTTTCAGATGCTAAGCCGTTTGCCAAGACGTTTTTGTGAACTTGTTTTTCCAGTGGGACATGCAAACTGTCATTTCTTTCATCTATTATTACAGCTTCACTTATTTTCGCTTTAGCGTCCTGTGAGTTCATCAGAAATGATCGTAGCAAGGCTGACTTGGATAGATTGTAGCCTTTCAAAGTGATATCTCCATGCTCTAGTTGCAAATCCAAGTTATTGAGACTTAGCTGGGCCTCTTTTGGAAGAAGTGAAATATTGATCAAGGGGATTTTCACCTCCTCTTGGAGCCTCTCTGTTGTGTTACCACGTCTCTTGAACTTTGGAAAGCGTTTCTCCAGAGGAACATCTTCAAACAGGATTTCTGCCTCTGGAAGAATTGTTACGGGGCTAACCAAATGTTCGTAAGACTTCTGGGTCGTAGAATTTAGTTTTGGTTCCTCTCTTGTGTCAACCTCTACTGTTATCTGGATTTTGAACTCGTCATTGTTTTTACTTTGAAATGTGAGGTTGAAATGTATTGTGGTCGCATTCATTCCACTGTTCATTATCAGATGGATGGTTTTCCATTTATTGGCAATAGAAGCATGTCGAATGACTGGATTGTCACTATAGGCACCTTCGAGTCCTCTTTTGGCTATTTCTGCAAAGCTGAAATAAGGCAGGCATTCACCTTTTGGAAGAATATAGTGAGTCTGGTTTGGGAGAAGTGTGACTTTATACAATTCATGAAAATGATCTAGAAGAAAAGACACACACATGATTTTTAAGAAACTAGGCATTTTTTCTTTTTCTTTAATTCTCCGAACTTGAGGTTTCACTTTCTAAGACTGACTTTAAGCTGATTTCAAAACAGTGAGAACTTCTAATACAACATCCAACTATCTGAGGAAATCATGATCATAAACATAGAATGCTAATTCTGAGTCACTATAGGGATATGAGGAAACCTTGGTGGCGTAGTTGTTAAGTGCTATGGCTGCTAACCAAAAGGTTGGCAGTTCAAATCCACCAGGTGCTCCTTGAAAACTCTATGGGGCAGTTCTACTCTGTACTATAGGGTCGTTATGAGTCGGAATCAACTCAATGGCAACGGCTCCATTCTTCATAGAAAATTTCAATAATCGATTTCCATCTTTCATTCATCTGAGAAAATACAATTTTCTGCCCAAATGACTTCCATTACTAAGCCATCAACAAGAGCCAGTATTTGAATCATCCTTATGCACTGAATTATTGATCTCCTTTCACTGTTTCCAAATTAAACCTTAACCAGACATTTTCAGCTAAAATAATCTGCGTATTCAGAAAAATCAACACTGTAGTGACAACCGGCAAAGAGAGCACTTTAGTGTCCACTGTTTTCTAAAGATCTGTGTCCCGTTATTTTTAACTTACAAGTGGTTTGGATGCAAGGCTAGAAAAGGTACTGTTAAGGATTGAATTGTGTTCCCTCAAAATATTTGTTGGACTCCTAACCCCTATACCTGTGGATGTACACTGTTTGGGAACAGGGTTTTCTCTGGTACGTTAATGAGGTTGTATCAGTGTAAGGTACATCCTAAACTTCATCACTTCTGAGTTATAAAAAGAACAGATTAGACACAGAAGTAAGTACGCACAAATGGGTGGGGGTAGGGGTGGGAGGTGGGAAATAGACTGCCAAGCAACTGAGGAACAATGGGGCTACACATGGATCTTCCCCCAGAACCGACAGAGAACCTTCTTCTAGAGCGGGTGCCCTGAATTCAGACTTCTAGCCTCTTAAACTGTGAAAAAATAAATTCGTTCTTTAAAGCTACCCACCTGTGGTATTTCTATTACAGCAGCACTAGGAAGCTCAGGTAGGTTTACACAGAATAACTTAATAACAACCACCCCAAACCCCTCTGCTAGTCAAAAATTTTTATTCCCTTATTCGTACTATGTTTTTATGGCGATAAATATACCTTGCCCACAGTCGCCAGCATCAAACCCACAGGACAAGACGTTGCAGGCTTGGTCACAGAACTTATCAGCAAGCCAGGAATTTGCACATCCTTGATTACAGTAAGAGATACTACTTATCCCTCCACCAAACTGCCAGGGCTGTCCAACTCCAACACTGCCGGTGCCCCCACCTCCTGCAACATAGCGACTGCCTCCACTGTTGCCTAGAAAGGGAAGGAAAAAGACAGAGTCTTGCCACGCTTACAATTTTGAAAAAAAAAAAAGATAGTTCCTTATTAACATTTTCAGGGTTGATGAACGAATTTCAGTTAGAAAAGTTTCAATCCATTCTTTAGTAGAAAATCTCACCTATCTGAAGACAAAAATAAACTGAAAACGGACCATCACTTCAGTGGACAGGTGACAGGATGACCAGGCCATGGCACTTACGAGCTGTGGAAGCCAGAAGTACAGGTTTCAAATTTGCTCAAAGGGGCTGTGTGCAGATGGGCACAGGGGAGCAGGAAAACAGGACAGGCAGATTATCCCAAAGACTGTAACTGCAGAGTCGCTAAAAACGTGACCTGACATGGGTGCAAACCCTTGATCAACTAGCTCCCTTCTGTTATCTAACTTTAATGTTCTACTAGGGGCTGGGTTCTTTGGACAGAACAGTTATATCTGCATTCTCTCCCTGCAACTGCTTGTGTTTTTCAAACGTGCATCTGACATATCTGATGGAAACACGACTTGAAGCTTTGTTTCCTCCAATAGGTGACACTTTTCCAAGCCCGTTTCTTCATATGTAATTTGGGGATGATGATATCTGTGTACATACTTTCTCTTTCTTAGGTGACTAAAAAATTCAAGTGGATAATCGTGAATGTATATGAAAATGACTTATAAATTTAAAGACAATAAATAAATGTAAATTTATCATCAACAAGTTGAAATACAAGCATGTGAGAAAGGGAGAAGAAATGTTTACTTCTCTTGCCTCCTTCAGTCATTCACTGACCTACAGCAATCTGCTGCTGAAAGCCACCAGCACAAGCTCCTATAATAACCAGTTAGAGTGATTCTTGCTCTTGAGCTTCCATAATCAGGGGTATTGCAGATTTTCATATTTTAAGTAATAAAAAAAAGGCATTTTCAAGTGCAGGGCCAACAAAGGAAAATGTCGTCAACGATGGATAACAGGATAACTGGGCCACATGTCAACTCCAAACAGTCTATGGATTACTGATTGTTTCAATACATGAAGAATGTTTAATCACGTCTACATATATGTTCAATAATGATTACGAATGAAAAGTCAGTAAATGTGAACAAATTACATTTTAACACATTCTTACCAGAGCAATCACCACCATCCCAATCACAGGCTGAATTATTACAAGCCTTATCACAATAGCCGTCTTTAATCCAGGAACCGGGGCAACCCTCAGCACAGTTTGGCACAGGCCACGTCAAATAAACCTTTGATAAAACACCAGAGACAGTAAAATGATTTCTGACACTTTTTTACACTCAAATTAATTCCTTAAAAAAGGAAAAAAAATTGAGCCCCTAGAAAAAGTTGAAATCTTCCAAGGGCTGATTGTACATTCATGTGGAATATTTTGCTAGAAGTTTGTCTGTATATATAGTAGTGTTCTAAGTCCTGCTGTGCTGGCAGTTCTTTCTGGGCAAAACTCTCCTTCCCATTACTTGTATTAATCTCAGCAGAGTAAAGGGACTTTCTGAAATCCGGGCATTTAAGGGTGCCCCTATGAGAGAGAAATCTGAAAGGTAGGTTCTGCTTAGCTGAGTCTTAGTTCTAAGATGAGCTCTTTGCAGAATTAAGGGCAGGGGAGACTTGAACAAGGATCACCTTGATGGAAGGAGACAAAGACTCAATTTGTGAATTAGTTTCTTACAACACAGTCTATAATCTATTTTTAAATAAATAGATTTCAAATGTCAGACTTCACAGCAAATGTATGAGCATGAAATCATGTCAAAGCAGGTGAGAAGTGTAACACAAGTCATGGCTTTTCTGTGACAACTATCAGTAATTCCCAAGTGTATTCCTGTATAATCTTATCTCAAGGCTGAGAAAAGCAGCAGATGAACTCTCAATATCCTTATCTCCATGCATAAGATTAGGTGATGAATTAATCAACACCATGGTTTACAGTATTCTGAATTGCAAACTTACCTGCTTTCAAAATAAGTGATACTTGTGGCTACTTTTTAAATTATTTTTTAAAAATACATCTGCCTCTTAAAGCCTCCATGCTTTTGCATGCCCCGTTGATCTGCAATGTCTTTCTTCATCTAATTAACTCTTATTTGTTTTCTTCAACATTCATTTCAATTCAGATGAGAACTCTTCCCTAACCTTGTCTGATTTAAACCTCCCGTGCTCCCACTCCTTAGCACACAGGCAGGCACACCTGTCAGCGCTGAAATCATTGTACACAGTCATTGATTGTATGTTTGTCTCCCCTGTTAAGCCACAAGCTCATCTTGCAGCCCTACAACTTAGCATAGAAGAGGCAACGGAACAGGTGAATGGGACAATGAGCACAGCCGGGTGGCATAAACAACCGAAAAAAATAGCTCTGGGCTATTAGCATTTAGTTACAGAGATGAATAACTTACAAGCTTATGGTGATAAGTATCTAACTTATCACTCAACCCTTCCAACATGCTATGGGGGTATTCGTACTTTCCCCATTAGGCAGACAGGAAATGCAAGCACTCAGGCCAAGACACTGCAGAGAGCTGGGAAGTGGTGGAACCAAGGTCTGCCCTAAGCAGCTGGCCCCTGCCTCTCTGCTCTTAACCACGTCTCCATCCTGTCTCTCAAACAAAACCAAGTAAGACTGGCTGCCTTAAACAAAATTTCATCCAGGTCTTTGAACACTAAACTGAGCTACCTTCCTGTCTCAGCCATTTTGTTTCTTCTGCTGTTGTTGCAGTAGGAAATTTAGAGGGTTGGGGAAGAATGGGTTCTGGGTGTCTGAGAATGCAGGGAAGCAAATTTCCTTGTGTAGTTTTCTACTCCCTCATTGTTAACTCTCCTGAGCTTAGCAATAAAAAACACTTATGTGATCAAATCTGAATAAAGTATTATAATACACTGATTTCCTGATTTCCCTTTTGTAACTTCTAAGTACTTTCCAAGCTAGCATCCCTTCCTCTTAGGTACTTACCTTCTGACCTTTGGAGTGGCTGTAAAAATCATCTGGCCAGACATCCTTCCCAAACATAACATCATCATTTAGGTAAATAAACTTCTGTGATAGCCCTTCAATGCGATGAATGTGACTTTCAATAGCAGGTGAACTAAAGGTAGGCAAGTGGCTCAAATTTTGAAAAACATCCTTTTAACAGGAAAAAAAAAAATGAGAAAGAGAGAGGGTGAATGAGAGGTTTTGTTTGTTTTTTTTTTGGTTTGGTTTTGGAAGGAAGGAAGGAAGGAAAGAGAAAGGAAGAATTAAAGAAAGGAGAAATGGAGGAAAGGAGGGGAAGGGAAATGAAATCACAGATATCCCTGAACCACAATAAAAGAACAAGAAAGGAAGCCATGGCCTTGCCATATTTGGAAAGTCGTGTACCTGATGTGTTACTATTGTTACTCGAGGGTTATCTAGGTTCAGCCAAGATGGGATCTGCCCGTTGGTGACAATGAAAATATTCCGAACCCATGGTGCGTGCCTCTCGATAGATCTCAATGAGTATCTCAGCTCTTCATTATCTTCAAAACGGCTGGCAGACACATCTTCATCCTGCTTGGACTGAGAAAAACATTTGGGGCATTAAGAAGTAAAACATCCCTTATGTCAAACCTCTTCTTCCTCTTTCCCCTCTGCTCTCAGGGTGGCAGACTTTGTTGTTGTTGTTGAGAATATACACAGTGGAACATACATCAATTCAACAATTTCTACACATGCAAATTCAGTGACATTGATACTGATAACATTCTTCAACCTGTGCTCTGGCAGACTTTTAGAGACCGAGTCCTACTTTTTTAAACACTACAAAAAAATGCAGAAGATGCACCATATTTAAAAAAAAAAACCTCAAAGACATGGCATTTCTTTAAGACACGTTATAGGAAAGGTTCTTGGATTAATGTAATTCTGTATCACTGCAATTACACGCAGTCCTTGACTTACGATGTATTTGAGTTATGAGGAACTGCACTTACGACCATCTGTTTTTTTTTTTTGTACATCTTACCGTTAACATGTACTACATAAAATGTTAAAATGCATCTGTAAGTTTATATGTAATGTTTCCAACCCCTAAAGACAAAGATCAGATTTATAAAGATACTTATAATAAAAGGCAATAATAATGAAAACTAAAAAAAAAAAAAGAGGTATTTGACTTAAACGTCAGAACCGACTTATGATAGAGTCGTTGGAATGGAACCCCGTCGTAAGTCAGGGACTCCCAACGGCAGTGGCTGGAAAATTAGACAAGTCCGCTCAACTCACCTTTCTACAGGTCCTCTTCCTTCTCATCATCCGGTGACTCATAAATCTTTAACACTCTAAGCATTGGATTTGGGTTTTAAAAGAATCTCTGCACCACTCACCTGGCTGATGGCACTCAGATCCCATAATAAATATGCAGGACTTATGGTCAGTTCTTTTCCATCGATAGTCATGTTCTTCTTAGTTTGTTTATTCAGTTCTTGGAAACCCTTGGGGTTATTCAATTTTAGAAGCGCTACACTTGCCTCTGAATATAACTGCAACTATGAAATAACAAGAGGGTTACATGTACGAAAACTGAGCCTCAAAGAAATAAAAAAAACAACAAAAAAACCCGAACCCATTGCTGTCAAGTCGATTCCAATTCATGGTGACTCCACGTGTGACAGAGTAGAATTGCTCCATATGGTTTTCTTGGCTATAATCTTTGCAAAAGCAGATTGCCAGGTTTTTCCTCTGTGGTGTCAATGGGTGGCTTCAAACCACCAATTTTTAGGTTAGTAGTTGAGTGCAAAATGCTTGCACCACCCAGGGACCTCCTCAAGGAAGAGACACCATTAAATTGTCCAGTTCAATTTTTAATCTTTAAATAAATATCTATATGAATATATATAAATGATATATGTGAATATATTATACAAAAAAAAAAAAAAAAAAAAAAAAAA